AAAAAAGAAAACAGTTATACTGCTGCAATCATAAAAAAATGTACAGCTAATTTTGGGAGTAATTCGAAAATTCGGGATAATGCTCACTTATTATTTGCTGAATGATGAGTTTTAGAGGGGCGAAAATCTGGTGCATTTAGCAACTTAACGGTGTAAAAGCGCAATTGTCGCACGGCAATGATTAATGCCAAGATTACCAAAACCGCTTAGACAATCAGTGTGGGTATCCCATGTTAGTGGTGTTACTGAAACGCCTTCTACGAGTGGGGAGTATTTGGCTATTGTTCTTGGGAATGGGTCCCTTACTCTAAGGGGTGTTACTAACACAGCTTTAGGTATTTCTTACTAAGACTGCACGAACTATCGGCCTAAAGCTCTCAGATGTACCTGAGATTCAACAAACTTAGGAGCCAGGCTTGGTGAATTCTGTTACACAGGCTTTAAGACTGCAAGCTCTTGTCTTTAGCATCAACTCTAGTGCTCTATTTACAAAACAGGAATATGCTCTGCACGATTTTAGCTTATACAGGGCATATTTACCCCTAGGAACTCCATCGAAAACTCAAATTTTCGTTTTCTCTGCCTTCCATGCAAATTTTCAAAATTTCTAATAGAAAATCTGTTTTTAGTAACTGGAAATTATCCGCAAAAAAAAATTCCTAAAAAACTATCTTCCCGGAAGAAAAAAGGGACTTGCTAATGCTTTCCGCCACTATCTCAGTTAACTAATAAGCTGGTCTGTTTTGGCCCTCCAAATATATTACGAGTACCGGAAAAGTCGCTTATTCGAGGAAGATACGTTTGATTTCCTTAAAAATCAACTTAACGCAAAGGAATATTAATACTCTTTGAACTAATTCTGAAAAATCAAGCATCAAATTTTATCCGGAGAACACCAATTGTCAATTTTGGTCAGTTCTCACCTCATCATATCAAAATTGGTCAGTGACGAGAAAATTTAATAAAAAGGAAAAAGTTTAAAAGTATAAATAATGGATTACACAAATGTACATATGGGCAAAACCATCACGGAAAAGAAAAAAAAAATCCCTAAAAACGAAGAAGCTATGAGGCATCGCTCAACTGAAAACCACTATCCGTCGTATCATTTCCATCCTCTTCAACCGGAGCAACACCTGATATCCTTCCTTTCCCACGATCCTTACTAGTGAGAGAAACAGTAGTGCCCTTTGCACTTCCCTCCTCAATTTTCTGAAGCTGAATCGCTTCATCGTTTGACAGTTCAGGAATCCGAACTTGCAAATCAGCAATAATTGCGGTCAGCTCATCGCTGTTGATGGATACAGCGTCACCGCTCATATGCGACCCAATTGCGCCAACCTAGAATTCTATATTGATTAAATATTAATTCTAATTTTATGATATTTTCATATAAAATTCTACAGAATTTCAATTTAAGCATGCATTTTTGCATGAGTCAGAAACTTAAAGTGCACATTTCTTACAGAAGCTGCTGAAGCTCAATGCGCAAAGGAAGTGGACCCAAAAATTATACAGCAAAGGCAGCGGTAACAAAGTGCTGATATTCCCATACGGCAACACTACCGATAGAGACGGTATTAATTTGGAAGTTGAGAGCTACATCTGTTTTGGAATATCCCAAGTAAATCCCCGTGTGTAGGAGCATTTCAATAATTGGAATATTTCAGTCCAGTAGATTAATTTTTATATTTTACATAAATCGTCACTGAAACTTTCATCACAAACAGTGGACACCCAAACCAACTGCCTACGCGGTCTTGAACTGCACACTCTCGATACTTTGAAAATCGTGGAAAAGGCAGTGCAGTTTCATTATTTTAAAAAATAAATTTAAATGAAAGAAAACGAACCGAGGAAGATTCGTCGTCCAAATCGCACACCGAACTTCCTCTCAACTGAGAATGAGTCCATTTCTCTGCTTTCTGCAATTG